TGTATACAGTTCAATATACAAAATATAACAAACCAAATAGACTAATTACTTGTAAATCTAAATGAAAATTATATAAAATCTACGAAACAAAGCATTTTTGGAAGATTCCATGTGTTATAATATCGTTATATTTAACTTCAACTGTATCAATTATAAAGTATAACGGTGATCCAGCGGTTTAGCACGCCACCATACTACCGACGGTCACGGGTTCGATTCCTCGCACGCCACAAACATTTGTTTTCATAAGTATGATTATATGTATCGGTCTGGTTGTTTTCTATATATAATATTTATTTATTTACATCATAAATAAGCGAGTTTTACAGTTTCCCGATATGCCCACTTAGGAATATTGCATATATGTGTATGCATTGACGAAAAAATATATCTATGTGTTTATCAGTTATCTAGTACCCATAACACAAGCTTTAGGTAGCTTAACTAGAGACTAGATGGCGCTGTGTGAATTATGCTGAGATTATTATTATTTTCTTTATATATAAACATTATGTGTCTCGTTGTTTGTCCTAAACTACTGAACCGATTGCAAAATGGCTTGCACATTGTGTGCAATTTGATTCAACTTGAAAGATAGGATAGCTTACATCTCAATTTATAATCGCAATATTATTTCATTCAAGAACCTTAACCATAGCAACGCGTAGCCGGTCTGCGAATTAACAATAAAGTATTAATTTTTTTATGTGACTGGAATGGCAAAGAAGCGGGAATGAAATCTAATACAGGCATGAATTACCATTTTGTAGTACTGTCATGTTTCCGTACCCTGTAAGTACCCTGTCATTTATATACCTAAAGGACAATGTTTTTAAGTAATTGGAATGCAAACAAACTGAATAAATATGTATAACATACAATATAACAACTACTATAGAATCCTGTTTATGTATATAGGCCATGAATAGCACTTACCTTCAGGTATAAGGATAATAAAGATAGATAGAAATATATATAAGATAAGGATATGCGATAAGAAAGCAAGACATCATAATTCTTTAGAATGCACAATTTTTTTCATCTTGAATGACAAGGCATGAGTGGCATCACATATGTCTAATAATTAAATGATGTATAGACAACTACAGTCTGTAATTTCATTGTCTAATCGCAATCAACAATTAAAGCTGGGCCTTGAAGTAGTACTTCGAAAGATAATTGTTAGTAATACACACTAAGAACCCTGTTGCTAACAGGTTGACCTTTAGGTGGTTGTCCCTGGAAACCATAATGACAAATTCCTGGTAATGTTGCTAGTTTGGGCTAATTGACCTGACTTCATGCTCAACTTAGTATCCTGCACTGACATCCAACCAGCATAAACAGTCAGCGTATGAGGGTACACCATTCAATTTTAATTCATTAATAAAAAGAATAAGTGAAATAAAAATCCACTCCTGCAACTTTGTATTAAAATATAACTTGGCAGGTTACTTATTATTATATGCTTAAGTTGTTTAGATATAGTTTAAAATGTATCTCAAGCTAGAGGTAACTGACCTGACATCATGCTCAACTTATCATCCAGTATTGATACCCTACCAGAATAAACAGTAAGCGCATTCAAGTACACCATTCAATTTTAATTAATTTATAAAAAGAATAGCTGGAATACAGACCCATTCAGTCAACTTTGTAGGAAGTATAGCCTGGGAGGTTAATTATTATTTAATGCTTAATTTTATCACACTGCTATTCGGATATACAGTTTAAAATGTATCTCAAACAAGTCTTGCCTTATGTACAAACTATAGACAGCCCACTAAGTGAAAATAACTAAATAAAAAAGAATTACAAAAAAAATAGTAGTAATATTTAAGATAATGAACATGGATATCCAAGATATAAACAGGATAACCTAAATTTGGATTAAAGAAGCAGTAGTTATTTTTATAGTAGGTGGTAGTCCCAAACCCAGGACAAAGGAATAGAGGATGAGCAAATAGAAATAGTTAAAACAGCAGGGAAACTATGGACTAGAATTACTCAAGACAGAATGGAATGATAAAGATTAGATGAGGCCTTTGCTTGGAAGCAAGCAGATGACCAAGAGCTATTAGATATAGTGTAAACAGCAAAATAAAAATATACGAGTGTTACATCTGAATAAAGGACTATAATAAAAAATAAAGAGTTAATTTTATATATCAACAATTGAAGAAAGATGTTCATGTTGTTTATTACATTATTTGTGTTCTGTTACAGCCTACATATATCCTAACTATGTAACTGGATAACACATAACTGAATCGGTGTCATCTGATAAAATATTGTACACTCGGGAACAATAGCTTTTATTATTTATGTGTGATAAACTATCTCTGCTTTGAAGTTTGTCAGGTTAACACTACATTAACATATATTACAGGATTTTAGTGTTATATCTTAAAGTCTAAGTAGTTAATAGAGCAAAGAAAACAATGTTGTCAAAGGAATATAATTTCTTTGTAGCAATGTGGTAATAACTTGTGTGAGGTCTGTAATGTAAGTTTAATATATTATAGGAGTATGTCAGTTCTTCTTAAATTTAAGTTTAGCACTAGTTCATTGTCTATTGTATATATATAAATTCCCACAGTAATAGTTTATCAGGAGACATTATAAACATACTAGAATCCAAAATTCTTACAAAATTTTGATTTTAAATCTGAATCAAGAATTAACCAATTCCGGTGTGATTTCACTAATGTATTGTAATAAGCTTGACTTTTTTTTTATTATACATAATTTTATTACAGTTTGTTTTGTTAGTAACAAAAATATTACTATTGTATAGAATAGCATAAGTATGAATGGATAGGCATCATATAGGCTTATATGTATAATGTGCCCAATTATTTCTATATTGCCAATTCTATTTTACATCTATCTCTTCTATAACAATTGACACTGCAGAAAGCCAGTGCGGACTTAATATTTAAAATAAATAAATACCAATATTACACTCCGTAATACTCAATACTACTAAGTATACTCAACCATGTCAATATATGTATTGATTTGTATACAAAATCAATTAGCAAATTAAACATATATGATAGTATGTCTGTAGAATATGTATGTATGTTTTGCTAAAAGATATCCATGAGGAGATAGTCCTCAAGGGTAGTAAATAATTTTAGTAGCTAGATGAGTATTATATCACTCACATTATATATTGCATACATTATATATACATTTGTGACTAAAAAAATGATTAAGAATGATTAAGAATTCTAAACTTTACACTAAACTATAAGTTCATCAGCCTATATGTATACAACAGAATGTATACATTATAGTTGTACATATAGAAGGTAGGTTAGAATATTGTTATATTCATTATAAGTAATGTTAAAAGATTCATAATCCATTTTCAAGAGACACCCTGAAAGTACACCACTATCAAATGGAAGCCGCAATGTAGCTCCTTGTCCTAATTAGGATAAGTGAATTCTAGTTGTATAAGTTGCCTGTCAAGATTGTACATAACATGATATATGAAACATAACATAGGGCCGGGAATCATGTGGTATACAGTAATATTTCTCTTAAGCAAGAGAAAACTCGAAAAATTATAAGCTAAGAGCAGAAGCCCGAAGCCTGGATAGCTACCTATTATTATATAGTTGGTACCATGCACGTAGCAGTAAAATATGGAGGATGCATATCCGAAACCCTAAAACTCTTTCCAAACGAAATGATTCACAGAAGCATCTAATAATTACCCCAATTATAGTTTATATCGACTCATATAATTGATTTTTAGTAATAAAACGGGCTGTAAAATGAGATTTACTGTCAAATAGCACACGATCGCACCGCCCTATGCTGATGTTGATTACTGAAAAAACATACTTACCACGCCGAAGACTGACATATTCCGCAAAAAAAACAAATATAAAGGAATAAAGATTAATATTATTAAGAGTTTTTATAGAAATCGTGTAGAATTTATTTAAGTTTCACAATTTTTTCCACAAAACAATAACACTACGCGCAATCACTATAGGACCACCACACTGAAGTTGCCGCCTGCAAGATCAATACAGCCAACTTAACACAAAAAATAAATCAATTATTTCGGAACGACTTCATGTGGTTACTATAGATTTTGTTTTTGTTTTGTATCTTATTTGAAAAGAACAAGATACCTATAATGTACTTACTTATATATAGTATTGACCACCACATCTATTCGATCTTTCATAAAATAATTGATGATGTTAAACCATTATGTACTTCCTTATATTATGTAGGTTCATGCTAGAAATCGTTTTTGTAGTTAAATGCTAGATTTGCACTTAATATTTATTACAATACAAAAGTGAAATAGCTACGTAAATATTTGTAATACCTAGAACACGGTATGATTAAAGAGACAAACAGAACTTAATACTCTTACAGTTGTTGAAACGTATAAAATTTAGAGAATCCTACCTAGATTTATTAATGCCTAAAATATTAACAGGTATACCAAATATAACTTAAATTACTCAAGTCATTGAAAAATTACATACCTACTCCTGCCTATTTACTTGAGACTCGTTCTTTCTGGTGGTGGTGACCTCGTATAAACAAAAATTGCTTAAAAGGACTCCACAGAATAAGTAATTAGTAGTAGATTCAGTACTAGTAGGATGTCCTGTCAGTAAAATATGTTTGTAGGTTAATAAGTATTAAATATCAGCTGCAGTTGGATTGTGTTATATCTATGGAACAGGTATAATACGTATAGGTACTGAATTAGATACCTTGTAAACATTTTAATAATGTTGTTATTAAATTAATAATAAATGACTGTATGAGTATTATTCTAACGATTCCTCGAGTGTAAAAAAATATATCTTATATGTCATTATTGTCATTTGACAAAAGTCAAAATCTGAAATGTCAAAAAGGATTTTAAAATTTAATTTCATATATTTTGTTTGACGTCTTAAATGAATAATTTTTAATGTATTTCAATGTAATTTCAAATTTTGTCTGAGTATGGCTTGTTCAAAACATAACTTAAAAAAATGTGTGTCTAAACAGCAATTTTTATAAAATTATTTGGATTTTAGAGACATTTGAAGCATATGTGCGTTGATAAAATATGATTAAGTATTTCTGATCTGTGAATATGATGAAGTCGGTCGGTGTTTTTAAAAAGATTTTTATAATGGCAGTCTTTTTAAGTATTCTTCTCTCAATTCTGCTTTGGTCAAATCTTGGTATCTTGAGGTGAGTATGTATTTTAATAAGTTTAAAAGCATTAATATCAAAGTCTCACACACGAAACGTTTTACATTGTTTATTTGATCCTGCAACAATATTCTTAAATTGTATAATGGTATGGTATAAAGTTTTTTACTTGATTTATATTTATCATATCAGTTATTTGCATTAACATTGAGTCACAATCTTACACATTTAAAAACTCAGGAATAATCCCTTTAATTTGAGATAATAGTACTTATTGTATTTTTAACACACAATAGGGTCAAATAATTGAAAATCTGAAGAATCTGAGTCAAACATCCATTTTAATTCTTTTATTTAATATTATTATTTACAATTTCAATGAAGGATTTCTTGTATATTTTCAGTCTTGATAATATAGACATCAAAACTATACCAGTGAAAAATAAAATATGTTATGTCAACTTTAATGATGAAAGGAGCAATATGAACAACAAGACAGAATTAAAAATGATATATTATATAACACCTACTTATCCAAGACCTGAACAAATTCCTGAATTAACTAGGCTCGCCCACACACTGATGCATGTGCCTCAAATACATTGGATAATTGCTGATGATCAACCGCTGTGCTCTGAACAAGTATTGAGTATTCTAAAGTAAGTCATATCACAATTGTCCATAAATTAATGCTATATGTATTTGTAATTTTTAGAATATTATTATTTTACTCCTAATAGAAATTTAATTTTGACACAATTAAAGAAAAAACTTATCAAACTACTCCCTTCCACATGCATACTGAAACTGCAAGTTGTGTAACATGTGGAAAACAAAATTCGACTTAATAAATTGTTTCCAATATCACACTTGTGTCACTATAGTGTCCAAAAACTACTGCACTGTATTAGATGGCTATTGCCGTCATGCCACATAGTGAAGTTCGCTTTTATTTATTGTAGACTTAATTCTATAATTTCAGTCTGCTGCATCAATAATAGTATGTCATGTTGATAGAACAAAGAAGTATATATTAAAAATACTTTAGGACTAATAAGGAAAATAAAATGTTATAAATGGCTATCAACTTCTATTGTTTTCAACCTAAAAAGAAAAAATTAAGTATTACTAATAATATTACACAAAATATAAATAATAATTTATATTCTATATATATATATATACCATACATGTTGTATCTTTATTACCTATTATTTATCATCTTCCAGTTTACTAATATTCGGAATTAAAATGGTGTGTTAAACTGCTAGACCACCGAGGTTGTCTATATAATAATGTATATAAAACATTCTTTAATTTGTTTTTTGTTTATAATTACAGACGAACACGCCTACCTTTCACACATCTCTCAAGTCCTAAACCATACCTATATAGAGGAGGGAACTTCCCTCGAGGAGTAGCCAATCGACGCGCAGCAGTCTCTTGGCTCCATGATAATGTTCAGGAAGGCGTGTTGTACTTTGGGGACGATGATAACACTGTTGATCTGCAATTATTTGATGAAATTAGAAATACTAAGAAAGTATCTATGTTTCCTGTAGGATTAATTGGAGGTTTTGGTGTGTCAACTCCCATAGTCAATAATGGAAAGGTGATTACATTTTTTAATAATGATATAATTTTTTATTTTCACTTGCCACTAACGAGACTTGTAGCACACGCCATGAGCGTTGTTTAAGTGAAGTTCCTAACTTGATTATGAATCAAATCATTGTGTTGGGTAAAAAAGTAAAACTGAGGAAAAACCTGGTTCGCATTGTCCTTGCGTGCTGGTCTTATACACGAGTAGCCGTTGGTTTGTGATTTGGTCAATTTTCTACCTAATAAATAAATATCTTCCCAGGAGGCAGTACACGATAATTTCACACAGTTTGTCGAATCTAGATTATTGTACCATTACAGGTCATTGGTTTCTTCGACTCATGGCCGGGTTCCAGAAAATTTCCGGTGGATATGGCAGGATTTGCAGTCAACATAGAATTCTTGAGCCCATCAGCTAACATGCCATACATCGCTGGACACGAGGAGGATCGGTTTTTGGTTAGTTTAGGTTTAAAATTACAAGACATCGAACCTCTAGCAGTAAACTGTTCTAAAATACTAGTGTGGCATACGAAAACAGTAAAATATAAGAAGCCTACATTAAAAGTAAATATAGATAAATTAGATACTGATAAATATCCAAACTTTGTTCATTTGCTCAAAGAGACATCTAGTTTGGGAATGGCAAATCTAGACCCAAGTACTGGTACTAAGTTATTTGTTACGCGTGACCGTAGAACGTACGATAAGCTCCCAGGCTTGCACTAGTTTTCTTTTTATTTTCATGTGTATGTATTGTGTAGATTAACAATTTTAATTGACGATTCAGCGAACAGAACCGACTTTACTTTACTGACTGGTATGACCCGTGTTTTAATTAATTATTGTTACTTATTTCAATTTTGGTGACCTATGTTAATGCTCATTGTTGTAACGCAGTATATATTACAGGGTTAGTTGGAAAGGGTATATACTAAGCCGTAATGATAAACAAAAGTCGTTCGTTAATATGTAACTTACCCATTATGATGAATGACTTTTGTTTTACAACTTTCCCTAAAACCTTATTATGTTTTCGAGAATAACTCCTTTAAAGTTGTATTATAAAAATACAATATTAACAACAACAATCAGCTGTTCTATTTCAAGGTCAAGAAAACTATTGGACATGGCTATTAACAATAGCAATATCTTCGTTAATAAATTTTTACGGTCTCCATTATTCCAATGTAATAATTTGAATGTTAATTCCTGGTGAATTTGTTAATCTAGCCCCGAAAACGTAACCTTGACCTCATCTGTGTGTAACTTGTGTCTCATTCGGTGGTATTCCACCTGTGGATGGTGTCACCAATAAAATATTCAACAAAAAATCCCATAAAAAAAATTCTTAGCGACACTACTTTTATGCTTAGAGTCATAGAACCTAGACCTCTTAGCTACTAAATAACAGACACAGGACATAAGGTATAAATAAGAATTAACCTTTGAAACTATGTATTATTTATTCAACTACTTTTTTTGTTACGTTTTGTTTTTGTTATGGTTTTGTTTTTGTTCTTTGAAATTGTTTTATTTATTCACATAGTTTATTTTTGTTACGTTTATTAGAATTTATCGATTGTTCGTCTAATTTGTACGGAAGAATATCCTTAAAAATATTGTTAAATATGTATTTTTGGTAAGACATCGTAAATTTCTATAAATAATATAATCTTATTGCATTACACCAGTCTTCTCAGGTAACTGATATAATCGATTAGGATGTTTTAATAATTTGTTACTGGTGAAAATGATATAATATTTATTACTTTTATATTTTTTTATGATTATAATTTATTACTCTATAAAAATGTTTAGTGAATTTTAGTCTAAACATCAAAATAAAGTACTTACGCACCTAAGTTACAAGATTTTGCTTATTATATGACTCTGTGAGTGTAGGTAGTGTGTATACTGTATATAATTTTTGTATATGGAACTATAGGGTTGCCGATTCATTGTAATAAGTACCATATGTTTTTATTAGAACAAAAAATCTGAAATTACCGCTTTCAGAAATCATACTACGCGGGTTCAATACACTTTCCTACCAACCCTGTCTGAATATATTCGTGTTCAGGTTTTTTTTATTGAAAAGTTACAAGGATCTATGATATAATTTTATTATAATAACTAATTTGTCTTGTTATTTTATATAGATACTTTATCCATTAAGGATATTATAGTACAAAATTATATTTCCACTGTGATTAAGACTCAATTACAATGTGATCTAGTTTTTATTAACATCATATTCATCATCATTGGAGGTGACAATGTTCATATATTTTAAAAGACTAATTTATATCCGTTATATTAACGGATAAAAAATTATGTCATAGTGATTTGTTTTAATTGATCGGAAAAAAATTCAAGAACTAAGCTCGATATCATAAACCTGGATAAAATCATTTACTGAAGTCCTCGATGGTGTAGCGGTATAAGACACCGCCTTACATCTGATGGTCGTAAGTTCGAAACCTCCCACGGTACAAACACTTGTATTCTTGAATATGATTGTTTGTATTATGTTTCTATTTCCAAAAAAATGATTTTGTGATAGTCCAGGGTTATTATTATTACTAATATTGTGGTACACAGAAACACATATACGTTATTGCACCGAAGTTTATTGATACTAATTATAGTGTTTTTATTTAGCCTGCTTACAGGCATGTTTTAATATATTTTCGTCTCTTTAAACATATTCATCTAACACCAGTATGCTTGTTGTCACTTCTATATTATATTTCTTCACCCTTTTCTATTATTGAGAACATTATAATTCTCAAAAGCTTACGTAACTCGGTGATATAACTAATTATCTTACTTTTCTCTATGCTATGATCTGAGGTATTAATATCGATCGAACAAATGCATAAAGATCAGTTATTCAAATACGAATACCGGATTACTCATGTATTTGTCGAGTATAATTATTATATAGCCAAAGCAAATATACGATGTGCTAAAATATCTAAATGTTGGTTGTTATTAAACATTAAAGTAATTGTATTCTTATGTAATAACTAATAATGTATATTAGTGTGTAAACATTATTAAAATATGAGTGTTAGCTTTAAATAATTGAATATATTTTTTATATTCGTCAAAAAATCAATTATCTGAAAATTTATAATGTTAACATAACCATATATCTAGATTTTCGCGAGGTCGAAATTTTTAATGGATTTTAATGCAAGATACTTCGCATACCTTGACTCAGCTTTTAATGAATAATTTTAAATTGCTTACAATTTAATTATATATATAAGGAGTTGTTTATATATTTAATTATATATACTCTTCAAGTTATTGTCTTTTAAATTAAATTATACCACCAACACAATACATCTTGATCTTGTCAATTGATTAACGTAGTTTTAAATTTAATAATATATTTTATGTATCCAGTAAACCCTGATCCTAGTCTCTAAAATATACATACAGTAGTAATAATACATACCGTTAATAGAGTCTACATACGAAATAACAAATATTAATTAAATACAACACCAATAAAATACGTTTAGATGTACTTCAGGGCCCATGATCATATATATATATATATATATATATATATATATATACACATTTAATTTTATGTTGATAACTGAATTAGCTTTAGCCAATAGTTTCGCCTGCGTGAAGCTAAAATGGAATAAAAATGAATAGAGTCTCATCTCAAATGTTATGGACATTTGGACATACCATCATGATAATTAGTTAACTAGTTACGTTTAAATACTATAAAACAATCTTACTTTTCTAAACATTAATATTAAAGTACAGTGTACACAAGTGTAAATTTTAAATATGTTCTAACTTTATGTCGAATGAACTACTAACAGATCGTGATGTTGTATTAATAAATTCACAAATCCATTTTTCGTTATTATAGGGTTATTAAAAATGCTAATATATCGTAATAGAAGTATAAAATTGTTTTGAACTGTTTAAAGTTTTTATGAATTGAACCACTGTAATTTTATTTAAGAACTAAAAAGTTGGGTTCTTAACAGGTATTAATGTATTGATAATACATGATTGAATACTGGACAGTAAATATGAGCCCACTAAAAATAAAATACTTAATTGAAAGTTTTGTGATAAATAATAAAAAAAAGTCTCATGAGTATATTAATTATGTGTAGGACTACGGCACCAGTGGATTCCCAAAATGTTTTTGTTGATTCCTTTCGAGATCACTACAGTATGTACCCACGTGGCCCCATATACAGAATTGCAGTAAGTTGTACTAGTATTTTTTTAGAACAGATAGTAATTTAATTTTATTACAATAATGTTGATACTGTAGTAGAATATTTACATATAGAATAAACATTTTTATACTATATCAAGACTTCACTTTTAATCGAAAGATCGAAATGTCATGTTTTTATGTATGACACAATATGTATTACGGTTATAAGGTAAATATTAATTATATGTCAATTTAGTACCTACATCATAAAAGTGGCAGCTGATACCACTTATTTAACGGAATGCAGTATTTATCTGCAAGAATTTGGTTAGATTAATCTTTTGTGTCTCATGTTTTTAGTTCCGGACTTAATCTTACATAGCGTTTTTACCAACTTTATAGACATTTTTTTTACGTTAAGTCATAAAAACAGGAAGTTATTCTACCCACTTCTTTAAAGACTGGTGAAATACTTAATGTTGTGACTTTTAAGTTATATATATATATATATATATTATATGCATCTGTCTTTGGTATATGATACAGTTAGAATGACCTCTTAGTGATTCTATTATTGTTGTTCAAACAAATCTGGGATGCAATGTTTTACAATGAGTTTCCTGTAATTTTATGTATCTTCACATAATAATCTAAGAACTACGTTGATGGTCTCAACTAAAAATCATCACGTACACACATTACCGCGGTGTTCGAATCTTTAGTATTTGTATATACGAGTAGAGTCCTCCCCGTTCTTAGATTATTATGTCTATTTATAATTTTTTGTAATATATGTAACAATTTTACATAATGGGGATGACGTCAGCAATAAGACATAATAAATTTATTTTCTAGATATTAACTAATGAATAGTAAATCAAAAGTGATGTACACTTTGTGCCTAAACATTCGCTTAAGATGAAACAAATTGTAATTATGTTTATAGGTATTATAATTTTATATAGTAGTTAGTTTTGTCTTAATAAATGAAATAATTGATTGTGATATATTACATATAATTATAATTGTTTAATGATATACATTTTTACAATATTCACAGAAATAGAAATTGAATTTTTTACTGAAATTTTTAAAGGGTAGCAACAGTCTTATTGAGATAACACACAGGTTTGAATGTTCTTTATCAATTTACACTCAACTATATGATACGGTGGTATGGTTTAGATATCCTATATAGCAACACATGAGTTCATCTATATGTTTCGAATTTACAATATACTTAAAATTGCACGGCCTATTTTACTACTCTTACATTATTATTGGAATAAATTTCAATAAATTGCACAATTATGCAATAGTTATCAAAAAGGAAAGGAAATGAAATTATCGATGTCAATTAAGTCAAGCGTGAACAGTAATATTAATTTAATATTATAATTATTTAGTATTTTTAAGACAAAAGTATTTAAACCCGGCATAATATGTTATTATAGATACAAAAGTAACGAAGCACAGTTCAATCGACAATTATATATGTTGACAATAATTTAGTTAATAAAAATTGCCACAACGTGTAAGAATAATTAAATTTTCAACTTATAGCGAACCACCAAAGATCTCTGTTCATTTATCATAGTATTTAGTATTTACAATTACTAATTTATTCTTATAAAAACACAAATAGAACCTCACTAAAAAGATTTTATAGTCTAGTTACAATGTGAAATCAAAAAGAAACAACCTTTAGTTACTAATAGCTAATTATAAAATACTCTATACACTATATAGATTATACTAATCTCACTACAACAAACTAACTAATAATAAACTAACGTCACTACACTCATGAATTAGTAATAAACTATGGTAATCTTTGCTTCTGCACTTTGGTATTAACTAGAATATAATTTAATATTTTGTTCACCTTAGTAATAATTTGTTACTATAGTGCATTAAATAAACAGTTTATATATGCATTAATTGTGATTTGCTTTTTTTGTATGCTGAGAGAGCAATGTTACCAAAAAAAATATATTAGACTATATTTTTGACTTGTTTTCGCAGATGTATGCAGTAACTTGTATTTATATTATTATTATATATAAATGTATGTATATATATTGTTGGAATGACACATAAACAGATGGCTGTCTAGACGCAACTAGATAAGGATAAAATAAAAATTATTGAATACAGAAGACATCTGTTCTATATATATTGTAATTTACAATTTCTATATTTATACTTTACGAATATTGTAGTTTGAATAGATTGTATGAATTGATAGGGTTTGTTTTATATCATGTTATGTTACTTTTTGCAAGTACTTTTAACTATGATGCTCTACGGCAGAAATGACTAAATTACGAGTTTTTTTTTAAATGGACCATATAATAATGGTGTAGTGCGAGCGAATTATGCAAACGTGGTACCAGTTGGGTGATAAGATCAGCATGAAGTCAGATAGACAGCTCATCGTGGCAAATTCACCACAAATTATAGATACACATAATTGCTATATATTGTATAGTATATCATTACTATATTGGTAGCTACAGTAATGATATTGTCACACTTATCTGGGTGTCAGAGCAAATGACCCCAATACTATTTTTAAACACGAACGAGATAGCTAAAATGTTTGACTGGTACCTAATTATTTAAAATACAATAGGATTATTTACGTTTTTAAATACGGGTCACTTTACAACGATACAACGATTTGTTGCTTGCTTATACACACGCGTGAGAAGAAAAGAAACTCCATGTGTACTTTCTCTTCCACGCTAAGTGTATCGAATAGTAATATTGATTTACACGCGAAACTCAGTATGTAATAATATTTAAATAATAGGCTTAAACACAATTTTTACGATAATTGATGCGTCGAATTTGATAATTATTACAATAGATATACATGTACTATGTATATTTATTTTAGTGTTTACATTAATAAATACATAAAGATTTTTTACGGGAATGGCAATATTTTGTAATGTTAAGTGTTATTATAAACGATGAAATAAGCCAGTCACTGCCATGAGCAAATCAATGTTTAGCGTTCCAATAGTAAATGAAATAGACTTTCCAAGCTTGGAATAGATTTATTTTACAGAGAACTTAAGGAACTAAGGCTGATTTACTTTGCTAATGTATGTAGATATATGTTAATTATTATATTGATATTTATTTCACGTCGTAACTTGTACATTTATAGAAAAAGTTATTGAATGAGGTGTTGATTTTTAAATGTTATCTCAATATACAAATAATGCACTTTTACTATATTTCCTAAGAAACTCAAAGCAATATTGTTAAGTAAGAAAATCCAAAGAATGAAAAGATTTCTGTATTAGTCTCATAAAATACAAACTTCATTCGCACATTATTATTGTATAAGCAATTAATATTTTCTGAATAGATATCCTGAATCACTTCTCCTCTTATTAATGATTGCTTAATGTTATATAATTTGGTACATTTATTAAAATCTAATATTTAATTTAAACTTGTCATGTATATGTGATGTACCTATGACCCACTTGTGACGAACAAATGTGTACTTTAATTATTACCATTTAAGCACATTCCTGTTTGATAATGTAAAATGAAATAAAACTCGAATATCTTAATATTGTTTTTATTTATGATAATAATTACGTAATTTACATAATTATATAGGTCAAGCATCACATCTTATATCATTCCGACCTTAACAGTAAGTATTTATTGTTACTGATTGGTTGGCCATATAATTATTAGTTCAATTTCCAAGTATTTCCTTGAGTTTAGCTCTGTATACTGGCAGCTCCACTCCGTCCCAGTGGAACGTAACTTTGTCGAAGAATCTGGGAAATAGTATATGAATTGTTACAAGATATTATACATATGTACGAGTATATATGACCGGGCGCTCCACATCGGTGCTCCCGGTCGCCCCTCCATCCGATCCCACGCCCAATTCAGACGGGGATCGAAATTACGCCCACCTGAGCCGAGGTTCGAACTCCTAGTGGTGCCCTCAGACTAAAGTCGTATCCGTCAGGCGGGAGTTGACTTCATCCGCTCCATAAGTCCTTCCACATGAACTTTGAACATCTGCACTCGCCCTCTATCGTCCGGTGAGCTGTAAAGGCCAGCTGCGGCCAACAGCATTAGAGTAGTCCGAAAAAAATAAAACGTGTATATAACTTGAAGAATAAGCAGTAAGATGTAAGATCGTTAACTTAGTGATTAATTTCTAATACCAGAGGTAGATTGTAAAAAGTCGTCTGGGTAGATCCCGCAATCTCAGCACCTACTTCAGCAGCCAAGCAATTTGCTTTATAAGCCTTGTTTCGGCTGTAGGGTGCAATTACGCAGTGAAATTACAGTGTAAGTATGGACATGCTAGTCCTGTGGAATGCATGATCTAATCACGGGTGTCACAAGATAAAGTGATACCGTAGTGTTGTTAGGGTATACCCGTATAGGTAGGCGACGGTTAAAACCAGAGGTTCCTAGAGGTATTTCATCATAGACCATGTTTAAAATGTGGTTGGATCCCCGCAACTACATTTCTGCATGATCCCAAAAATTCGACCAAAAAATGTGAAGATTAGAGAACTAACTACGGATATCTGCGAATTGATAGTTTTCGAAGTGGAAATTGATTGATTATTGATTGATAGTTAATAAATTATACAGTGAGTGTATATAAAAAAAAAAATTTGGTATATACATGGTTTTACAATTAACAGTCGCTGAGTTTTTTTTAAATATAATCTGTCTACATTGATAGGTTAAGTCAATCTGACATTTTTCTTTACTTTGAGAATTAAGGGTTAAGATAGTCAGCTTAATTGCCTAGAATGGCACTTATTACATAAAAAAATATATTCTATTGTATTCACTAAGCCGTTAGAAATTATCAGATTAAAAAGCAATTGAAATTAGTTTTGATATGGAAAAATCGATCCGTTTTACCTATCTTAACAATAGTATTAGTAGTTTCTAAGTAACATAGCGTTTTAACATAAAGTTGGATGGATAGACGAAGTTGCGTGTAGATTCCGATTTACCTGTTTAACGAAAGAAGTTGTTTGGTATTCTCCACTTTTAAGGTAAATAGAGCCTGAAGATTAAGATTTTAAATATGCAAACATATAAATATAATTATAATTTGAGTGACATTAAAATGTAACTTTATTTTTTATAAAATTTAGACTGGCCAGTAAAAAGTACCATCACTTCACCTATCTATTAGATGGTACAAACTAATATCCACTAGTATGTACAACAAAATAAAAAATCGCCAGTCGTAATAAGTACTAACCTAACTTGCAATTCGGCCAACACTTTCTTCTCGAGATCAGTCAATCCGCCGTCCAATACTTCTATACTGTCGACCAGTTGTTCCACATTGAAGAAACCGCAAATGTTAGTGTCAATATCTGGTTGATTGAGAGAGTACCAAGTCGCAATGCGTGCTAATTCCACATTCTGTGCCTGTAATTATATTATAAATATAAATTTATATTATAAATATAAATTATTATTAATACACCATATACATTTTAGAATTTTACACTGGGTCCTCAGGTCTGTATCGTAGAAACTGGAGTGACTATTGGTTGTGTACATATTTTACATGTTTTATTTGAGAGATGGTTTACAATTGTTATACTTGACGAAATGACAAGTGGAAACTTCTGTTAAAACTAAAGAATGTTAAAAAGTATTGCTGTATAGTGTGTCTATGAGCATTTTTTGCAGAACTAATTGTAGTATATATAGCAGTATATATCCGATTTGTCACAATTTAGATTAATCGGCGGTTCTGTTCTACTTTAACAAGCAGAGTGCAAATGTAGTTTAAACCGAGAAAAAATCTCATGGAATTATATTACAAACTAGGAAATCTATCAAGCTAACGTCCCACCTATTGGTTAGTAATAATACTCATCATACATGTTACATTATTTATTCAATGAACGATATTTTAAACTTATTTTTTCTTGGCCTTACCTTACAGTAATCTGATGCTTTTTTGCAGACAGCTTTAATGTCATCATTGGCTGGATGCCACGGTTGGGGTCCTTTATTGGAAAGTAACCCCATGCCAGTTGCTGCAGCATTGATTACTCCCACTCCTTTGCTCTGAAAAATATTATTAAAAAAATATATTATAGATCATTATTAAAAAAAGATATATGCTACCAAACTACGCTATATTGCAATTTTAATACTTCTATGTAAAAATAAGTGTTAAAATATACTCTAGGTATCGAATATTTATTTTGTTTGGATGCAACTATACTAAAATAACAAATTCACAGCTACTGCATTTGATATTCGGTATTGTTACATTTGAATAAAATAGAGATCAAATACATATCTTATATTATCTATATATTTCTAAAGCTGTTGTTTTAGAAATATATATAGGTAATAGTAATAAACATTGTTCTTGGTTATTCAAGGGCATAGCTAGATTTTGTTTATGGTGGGGCAGGCAAGAAAATATATGATTTAACATTGTCGACATCGAATGTGACAAAACTAGTACAGTTTGGGGGGCAAATCCGCTGAATATGTATTTCTGTTTGTTTCATTATATTCTCCATAACAGAAACCAATGCCTAGATTCAATACCTAAGTGCTAAAATAGCCCACTGACAACAAACTATCAGGTAATTACTCTAGTTCACACCAATAGAGAACCCCTAACGGTAGTTATTACGACGTTCAAGTGTGTAGGTCAACTCCAAGGGTGAAACAATTACGGGAGCAGAGGAAGAACGTCATACGTAGTTCTATATTGAATAAATGTTCAGAACAACCTTAACCGTCACCTTATGAAACAATTCTTATATAGTACCTTATATAACAATGCTTAACAATAAACAAGATCAGGTTTTAGCTGACTTAAGACTTGACTGACTTAGGATGACCAGGACAAGTAAAGAATGGAGCATCCCGGCTAAAATTATAAGTATAGATTTTTCTCGGACTACTCTAATGCTGTTGGCCGTAGCTGGCATTTACATCTTCACCAGACGATAGGGGGCGAGTGCAGATGGCAATCGAAATCAAAAGAAGTACTTATGGAACGGCTGAAGGCCAACTCCTGCCTAACAGATACGACTTTAATCTGAAGGCACCACTAGGAGTCAAACGGTCGGAGTCGACACAGGCCGTTGTAATTTCGATCCCCGTTTGAATTGGTCACTGTCCATCGGTCGATTGGAGGGGCAAAGTATAGATACCAAGATGGTGGGGTGTGACAAAACGGAATCCGGACACAGGGAGGCCTGTGGGTTTACCTTGAAATGCCATGAATTGGTTCTACATAAATGACCAGATATGGAGCTCTCGTTCAGATTGCTCACCCCTTATCGGAGTTATGCAGTATGAAAGACTATTATATTATATATTAGAATATTTTGAATATTAATGAATCCCAATATTATTTTACCTTTGTTTTATTGTCAACTAGCTGTGCCCGCGATTTCACCCGCGTTTAATTTCAATATAAAATATGTTTTATTCCGATGCACAAGCCATATTACTTTAAAGTTTCATCAAAATCCGTTGAGCAGTTTTTGTGTAAAAACGTATGTGTGTTTTGTGTAACGAACACCCATACTTACAAACTTTCACGATTATAGTATTATATATTTCAAGATATATTTTTAACATTTATTTAAATTAATTACATTGTTGTTTTGTTCGGTATAAATTGTAAAGTTTCAATTTAATTTAATTTTAATTGAAATTTAATATAGTGCGAGTAACATAAAGCGTTAATAAAACAAAATGGTAATTAAATTAATAGAAATAGATAAAATTAACAAAGGCACAGACGGTTGTTTTTGTAAAATAAACAAATAAATAAAAAAACCGTCACCTTAAAGTATTTAGTGTAATTCTGTAGCCGATTGTCTATCAGCGTCGACTTCGCATACGACAGCACTGTAGATATATTCACGTCGGATTCCTCAACTATCATTTGCATTAGATCGATATCGTAATCAGCTATACCTATATATCTAGCTTTGCCATCTCTTACGGCTTTTTCCAATGCTGGCAATGTTTCCTTCAATATTATCGAAGTATCTGGAGCAAATGTCGGATCGTGAACCTGTAAGAATAAAGAAATACTTTTATGTACTATGTAATGTTATATTAAAGGGTCGTAACTATATATTTGTTACAAGTTACATCTGTAGTTGTAATTAGAGTCAGTAGTTAAAAGACATAAAAAAATAATAGACATACTCGCTTCCATAAAGGAAAAGTGTAAAGTCTAAAGGAAAGGTGTAAATAAAGGTGTAATACAGTATAGAAATATAATTATAGTAAACAAATTAAAATTTTTGTTCAGTATGTTATAATATGAAAAATAAAAGGAAAGCGGGGAAGGGGAAAGTCCAAGACACAACTACATTAAGCAGATCAAGGAAATAGTTGCGAGTGTCGTGAACTAAAGAGCAACTAAAGAGTTCGATGGAAAATGGAAACAGGAACTCCACTGACAAGTGCGCGCCTCATAAATTATAAATGAATGTTATAACATTTAACAATTGTTCAGTATTGTTTAAGAGATGCGCGATTTCATTAATTATTACGACAATTTAGTCAACCATAAAGTCCTACTACTAAATATATTAAGGAAAATATTATGGAATTGCACTCTCAAGTGCCACCTTGCGGAACGTCCTCATCAGACAAGGAAAAAAAATTAAATCTTTTTTTAGTTAATTAATTACGAGGTATATTTTATTTTTTATTGTATCCAATAAAAAGGAATGGTCAAAATCGCACAACCCGGTAAAGTTATGTCATATGAGGTGTCATATATGTGATACGTATAAGTGCATGGATACCCATCTGGAATGTGAACTCAAATGTATTGTCAATGTCGTGCGGGCTATACGTAACTAATGGACCCAATTCAGTTTAAATTGGCTACTGTAGGTCAGTGTGGTCTTGACTCCTAACCTGAATTAAGTCGACGTAATCCAATCCAAGCAGATTCAGCGTGTTGTCCACACTCGCTTCTGTTTTCTCGGCACTAAAGTCGAACATTTTATCGGTCTCCTTTTCATATCGTCCAACTTTACTGCCAATGAAATATGTCTCTCTGGGGACACCTTGGAGCGCCTATAAATTATACGGCATTTTAGAATCGGCGAAAATACGTGGGTACGGAAACAGCTGGGCCTGTGAAACAAAGGTTAGGTAACCATGCTTCGCCTCACACGTCAGTCAAATTATCTATGACTAGATATAGATATATAGATACTAGCGATCCGTCCCGGACTCATATGGATCCATGCGTATTATGTGTACGAATAATTATAGATATCTTTGGATTATTAAAAAATCTATTTATTTCTCTTTATAGCTTAGTTTAAATAAGGCACGCTCGGAGTAATAAGTAAATGTATGTGGAGAACTATTCGCATATCAAGCGTCGCGTTCACCATGACATCGACCATTGCCCGATCTTCCGGGGCAATGGTGGTGATATTCAGAGGATATATACAGCAGCAAATATAATTTATTATCGTTTTGATCACAGTTGCATGTTACATATAACTGTTACTGAGCAACAGGAAAACTTATTTTAAATGTGATGGATTAGATTTTTTCTACTAAAATCATTGTGTCTATTAGGCATGACATGTCATGACTGATTATTTATTTAATTATATACCCTACATATATGTATATTGCGGTCTGTATTGTGATAAAATCCAGGACACGAACTATCTCTACATGAAACTTTATCTACATATGAGTGGAATAGTTCGTGTTACGTAAACTTGTAGATGTAGATAAGATCTGCAACAATATCATACAGCATTGATATCAATTGTATTCTGTCCTTGTCAATTTAAATCTAAATAAGAACCTGGTGTTTACGATTTCTGCCACTGGTGGTGAATATTCAACAGTTCAATAAATCAATAACTTATAAAATGAGAAACAATTTAGATATATGAATCACTTTTTGCTCTATCACAGTAACACAGTATTTGAGAAATAATCTTTAACGATAATTAGTCATTTAAAAATAATTTACACAATAAATAAATGTGTGTATACATTAAACATTTAATTTGTTACTTATTACATACAACATCACAGAGTAATGAAACAAATACATAAGTATCAATATTATATGTTTAAGTTTATAACTCCAGTAATCAATAAAGTTCCAAGGTCACCATATGATTGTTGACAAACAAATAGGTACTAAACAATGAATGTATGTGCAAAATAGGATAAAAAGATGACTCAGAAAAACTGTTTCTATAATACTTCAATAGAACAGTCTTTTAAAGACGCTCAAAACTGTCTATTAATGGTCTGTTTGAAAAAGTATATATGTTATGCTGACACACACAGTACATGTGAGATAATTACTTGCTCATTATCTATAATACTGTAGCAGTTGACTACACCTATTTTGTTAGATAACATATCCTGCGTAAATTTATTAAGTTCCATTTAAAAGTTTAATCGTGAAATTATAGCAAACAGATTAGTATTAATAAATACCTTTCCAAAAGTCCGCTCAGAACTACCTTGACCATACCATGGGCCAGTTTCCACATAGTTTATACCACGTTTGAGAGACTCCTTAATTAATTGCAAGCTTCTGTTTTCATCATAGGTTCTGTAATAAATAAGATTGTATATATGTAGTTGAATTTACATTTTGTTGCTATTTTCTTTTGTATGATACTCCACTTAAGTTATAGGTCCTACAGTTACAAAAACAAATCAAGTATCTTAATTTCAATTATTAATTATTAAAAATATATTAATAAATGATCAAAATAGAATAATTTTTGGATAGTTTTATTTCAGAATTGTATTTTGTGTGCTTTTACTATATATAAAGACTAAAATGAAAATGATAGGCATAGGTTACATTATATCTGCCTGTTTACATCATATGTATAGTTTTATAGTACTTATTTAAAAATATTTTTAATTTCTTTAATGAAATTTTCACAATAGATATATATAAACATACACTTTTTGTGTGTTGCTTTCTTTAAATAAATATATATTTTAATATGATTGTTTAGTAGTTACCAGTTCTATATCAGGTGGCAAAATTGAATTTCTGACTGAAATTCATTAATAATAATCAAATGTAACTTATACAAAGCCAAACATTGTAATTTTTATTATTTATTTAAAAAAATTACAATGTGTATTATTATATTTATTGTTATGATGGATCACAAATTTGCATTATTGTTTATAGAAATTTATTTATAAATGTTGACTATTCATACAGTCTGTTATTAGGTTTCCTAGATTATGTAATTTATTTGTGTTGTAATTAAGATTCACGACATTATTACAGCATGTAATGACATGTGCAGTTTATAAAACCTTCCTCAGATAAATATGTTACTATTTCCTAGTAGGTAGTGTTTCAGTAATAATTTTAACTCAATTACGTTAGTTTACCTGTTTATTCAATTTTATCGTAATTTTATAGCATTACGTGCCCTTATAGGTTATCTCAAGTAATATAAAAATATGATTTCCCTACCCATATATATTGGCGAATGCCGCTCCTCCTAAACTGATATGGGAGACCTTGATTCCCGTAGTACCGAGTTCATTATATTTCATTATGATAAATTTCGTTTACTCACAAACTCACAATATAATTTTTCTGTATAATTCTGCCGCCACTATTTACGTGTAATTCTGTTAAAGACTGATCGATAACTAAAATCTATTTTCCTTAGGCATTGTAGATTATGAAATACATTTTTTTATCAAATTATTATTGTAGTGAAGTGGATCATACCTACCAAAGGTAAAGGAAGGTAGTTCAACATAACCATACAAGCAAGAGCTTTAATATTAGTAAATATGTACGTTTTTACTTTTAAATTGTAATAATAATAAATATATGTATATGTAAACAATTTAATACTTCTGTCTGATAACATGACAGACATTCGCTGATTGACATTTTTAAATTAATGTTGCCTTTCCACCAAAGTTTGGCCAACCGGTGCAAATTTTTGATCATATTTTAATGCAATAGTGAGAAACACGATAACAAGATTGTTTTGCACATAAAGATATACTTATTTAAAATAAAAGTTTCAATTATATTAATTTATACTACTGAAATTTGCACCAAATTCAATTAGTCATAATAGAGAGAAAGGCGACTTCATTAATATTTTTTTACTATGGAAATAAATTACACTTTAAGAAATATAAATTTTAAATGCTGTATAAATTGGCCAACTTACTGGCCAATTTATACTTAACTTTGATTTACTTGGCACCCAGCGGATTATAGACATAATATTTTAAAGTTGACAGTCAGTATTTTCGTTTGACGTATGTTTTGACATTGACAACGTGGGTTTCCAACTTATGAATTTTACCCTAAAAGTTAGGCGAAATGCATAAAATCAGTAAAAAAATGTCGACATTTAAGAAATTAAAAAAAAAACAATGTCAGCAATACATTAAGACGATATAATATATATAGCCGTTATTAAGTAGTATTTATAATATCCGGAGTCATCGTTGCATGATTCTTTTATTGTTTGTACTTAGAATAATTACATTTTTAATGAATTACTGTAACAATATTAGAATAATTGGTAGTTTTCTGTAATTATTTAGAATTTTTTATTTATACATTACATCGTAAAAAATACAAAAACATTAATATTAGACATTTTACTCCATTTGTGTAAATCACTTTTGAAAATTATATTATGCTTTAATTTTATCGATATAATCAGCATTTCGATAAATTCAGTTTCTTTAGTATGCCTGTATACACATTTGGGGTAAATATATGTATGAGTTGGCGATACTTGTTATAACTTGAATGCATTTCACTCGAACGCTGCAATCTCGGCTCGATCCTCATTGCTCTCACATCTCTCGAACTATTTCTAATAATTGTGAACGTGAATCTATAAACTTTCGTGTTGACTGAAGTTGTTATAAAATTTATAAAATTCAATAAAACCAAAGAAATTAATGTAAAATGTAAATATTGGTAAAAGGAAATCTATCTTCTATAAACGTAAGTACTGGGCCTATCCAAAATAAATATTATCTACCTACTATTGTTTACGTGTTGTTACTTATAAATTCTTATTTTTTCTACTACTTCGTCTTGTTATTATTTCTCGTTCGTATTCTGTATTTCTTTGTGGAATCTGAGAAATTTATGTGTTTACATGTTTACGGCAGAGGATTAAGAGACATCGGCATCTTAGACATCTCCAAAATTTAGAGTTGACAAGTCATACGGATTTTTTAAAGATGTAGCAATATATAAACATCATTCTTATCTTTATACTGAGGTAGTAATATAAGTATATTATGTTTATTAATAATCTTAATTAAACTTAATATCATAAATTGCCTTAAATATATTGTGGATACATAGACCTACTCCCATTAATTCTTAATATGAAAATACTGTTTCTGGTTAATTGTAAATTCTTGTTTTAGATATAAAAGTTGGTTTAAGTTAAATAAACCATGGCTTAAAAAATAAGGTAAGAGATGGAATTTTTATATTATGTAGGTCATTGTAGGTATATGATCTTGAGTAATATTTATGGCAATGACAATTCATTACATTAAGCATATACTTTAATTATTAGGATACTTGTTATAATAATATAGGTTTAATCAAATTTAATACCCGGTAAATTTATAAAAAAAATACATGCATTAAAGATTTTTTAATATTAGTATCCACCTATTATTATTAAGACCATCTCTCTAAATTATGTCTACAAATGGATTAATTGCTAAATAATATTTTTTATTTTTTAGAGAGCACAATGAGGACCCGAGCACTGCGTTGCCGGTCTTTCCCGACCCGTATATTGGCAATACTCCTGCTGGTCATCGGCTTTGGGGCCTATTGTTACTACTACAGTGGCCCTACATTGACTAAACCAAGTAAGTGCCATTTTATTCTGTATGGATAACACTATTATTATTTAATAGACTTTCAGGGTATGCGGGCATCCAGACCAGTTCTATATATTCATACTCTTCTAGACTTTAATCTTAGTATAAGACAACAACTTAATGGATAGTTAATTTATTTTACTACTGAGCACTTCTAATTTATTTTATTGTCTGTAGAGAAAACTCTATTATTTGTAGTACAGGAAAACTTGTAGGTATACCATGAAAATTGATATCAACATCAATTTCAATCCAATCCATTTTTGAATCGTTCTTTTGAAGTCTAATCAAGAGTAAACTGAATCGGCGCAATCCAACGTCAATGGATCGGAATTTATATTTAGAATAGACGCGATATTTATTTTCTACTATTTCACTTAGATATCGCTTCTAGGAACACCAATTATACCTTTTAAAACCAAGAAAGGATAGTTTTGGAGTTTTTTTTATAAAGTCTCTGTATCGATAAATTAAATAGTACAATCAATTCCTATTCTACTATTGTTACTGATATTATATTTTGATTATAGTTCCACTGTATTATTTATAGATCTAGCGTCTGAAATAACGGCTGTGAATAAAAAACTTTATGTTTGTAACTAAAAATAACGTAAGACTTTGAGTATTGACGAAATAAAAATTAGATCTGCATAAATTGTTTAACATAAAATAAAAAAAACCTCTTTGTTGATAACCCCAATGAAGGAAAATTCGCACGATTTTAGGTGGTTCTACATGAGAACTGGTAAGTATTTCTTTTTATGTATTTACGGTTCCCGTTATGCACTAATCCCAATTGCATTATACTGCGTCTAATGGAAGATGAAATACAGTACAACTATAGGCGTCATATCATAACAGTTAAAATCTAAAAGCGTTACACATGAAATGTCTTAAACCAGCAGTTAGTTGCCGTGAAACAAAAATCCTGGGTTAATGTAAGGAATCCATCTAAAAAAAAGATTGTCTTTTATTAAACTGCACACCATTACTGTCAAGTCACCATAAAAGTGGATTGAATCAACTGAACAAACCACGGTCAACGCTGTATGGATAAAAAAATGTCGTATTTGTAAAGCAAACCTGGTTCGGAATTTGAAATTGGACAGGCAAGAGTACGGCTGCATTGAAAAGTGCAGTTGAGGTCCTAACACATTGCTACTATAAAGTTCAAATTCGATCAGCACTACACTCATTCGATATGATATTTGCGAATGTTGCGATGCTTGTTTGTACGACGCCACAATTTCCACCAAAAGTAAATTAAACATTTTTTTATGGTTTACACTGTGTTAAAATTACATAGGTATGAGTATTAAACGCAATCGGCAGTAAGTAAAATAGAATATGTCATGTGACATGGACGAGCGAGACTTCTGATGCTGCCAATATGCATGCATGACTTTAACGTGAAATTGAAGACAGAATTTTAAATTAACTGCAGCTTGTAGCTAAGGTGATTTCCGGGATTTCACTAAAAGCGACTTCACAGGAAATAAAAAGCTTTCAGTAAGAAACTGATATAAAGGTATATGTAGTTGCAAATCTTAGTGTACGAGTCTCGTATTGTTTGTGTTGTGCAAGAAGTAAGTATAAGCCGCAGGTAGGTACTAGAATTGGTAACTTATAACTTTACTCGTATAACTCATCGCCAACAGCCGTATATTAGCTATGGTATAAAGAGATGTTTCAGATTGTATAAGTGGGAGATCGTAAATAATTGCTTATATGGCACGTCAACAATTATTTGAATATAAGTACATTATTATGCTTCTATCAGTACCAAGAGTTTTTTTAGAAGGTATAAGTACAGCCAAGGTATAGGTACATCCTACTAACAATCGGCAGTTTACCTCATATGTTCACGGGTCATATTCAACTTTCTCTACCTACATTGAATTATTTGGGTGTTATGGAAATATCAGGAGCAAAAGTCACTTAAAAAGGTATAATGCAAACTGCAGGTACCAAGGATTAGTAACGTATCTTATGTTAGCGTGGCTTATTATTTCAGTTCTATGACAATTTAAGACAGAAAAGTAATTTTAGAAAGTATAGGGCGAGACTGTAGTGTGTATAACTGCGATATACGTCGCTCGAATTGTATGGGCTTATGCTAATCCAGCACTAAGGAGGAGATTATCGTTTACGTTTTAATTTTAATAAATGTATAGTAAAATAAATGATTTGTCTTATTATTATAAATAATGGTCGCGCTGTCATAGAGCATAATAAATTTCACATTCAGTAAGACTATAGACAAGTAATATTAAAGACAAAGAATATTAATCTATTCACAATTTTGACTAGAGACTTCAGTACCTATATAGTATAAAACAAAGTCGTTGTCGCTGTCTGTCCGTCCCTATGTATGCTTAAATCTTTAAACTACGCAACGGATTTTGATGCGGGTTTTTTTAAATAAATAAAGTGATTCAAGAGGGAGGTTTTTATGTATAATATATGTACACCCTGGCGAAGCCGGGGCGAGTAGCTAATTAACAATAAACAAAAGAGTATATATGCGTGTATGTCAAATACATGATCGTGACTGTAATGATATTTTATTGATTTATATTAAACAAAATAATATTATTACATAATTAAAAAAATAATTCCTAAAAATATGTATAAAATATAAGTGTGCAATATTTCATATATATACTCTTCCGTTCTCGCAATTTACGTAGAAAGGGGTACAAAGTTTTCGCGTCACATATACTTCACATATTAATAATATATTCAATCATGAAGAAATTGTTTTTTAACGTTTTTATCAATAATAATAATAGCTTAAGATAATTCACACATCGATATTTAGTCCCAAGTTTAGCAGAGCTTGTGTTATGGGTACGAGACTATTAAACAAAAATTTTTTTTTTAAATTACGTACATAATACAAATGTTACCATTGTGCGAGGAATCGATCCCACAACCATCAGAACTAGTGTGTGCTGAACTGGTAGATAACCGAGGTAGTCATTTATAAGAGTACATCTACAAATACGTATATTTACCATACCGACATTTATTGTGAGCGAGATTCCACCATTTTCCCCAACCCTAAAACAATCATTACGAGTGACTGAAAAGGGCAACCGTTCAAACTGGACCACCGCTTTACTGTCTCGTTATCGGAATGTACGTACATACATTGTTGTGCGTTTACTGTTTAAGTTTAAGGGACTTTATTATGATTCACTTATTTGATCATTTCAACATTTGACATGCACTTTTACTTATTTCTATTTTCTTTTACTAACACAATTGTTTTTAACGATATTCGATATTGCTAACCATAAACATGATTTCTGTTGATCTTAATAATATTTCTCCAGTTTTACACATAGGGAAATCTGTTTTGAAAAGATCTTCACCTATTTTTAATTAATATCATTAAACATAGAATATATTTAGCAGATGGTATAGTCTTTTGATCTATTCAGTCATGTTTCAGCTAGTAAGTTACTTCAATAATATACACTGCTCCCTTAATAATTGTATTATATATGTCATTGCAGTGTTATCGGTTAAATAAAAAATAAAAAAAATGGAAATCAACTCTATACTTTTAGTTAAAAATATCTGAATTTTTGTTTTTTTTCTTTGTACCCGTTAATCTCAAATACAGTCTAACAGATTTGGATAGTTTTTTACTAATTATGGTAAGCTTCACTTAAAATTTAATGTCTGTTTGAATATAATAAATTCAGGAAGAAAAATTTATACCGTTACTGGCGCAGTAAATACTTGGTAGGTATATGTCTATATTTGAAGAATTGTAGTATCATCAATAATCAAAAGTTACGTAGATAAAGAATCTGTTGAATTATTGAGTTAATTATCAGTTTTACTTTCTACTCCAATGAAGACGCGCATCTGTTCATATTTTTACAGTAGATTTTCCTCATGGATAAACCTGACATGTGTTTACAAACACGTGTCTGGTATAAAAAAGTAAAACAGCAATTGGAAATAGAAAAGGGAATGAAATATTGCATTTGCCTACTCAGTATTATATGTGTCATTTATATTTGGGGTGTACGTTATTAGATACAACAAGCTAATAGTTTCAGTATATTAGTTTTATTATAGATAAGTATATTGGTTTTAACGACATTAAAAATAAGGACGAAACAAATAACAATCAGTTAAAAGTAGTAAACTATTCAAATCGCCATCGATTCTTACCGGAATCCTTTATCCCGTATTCTTTGAATTTTAAGTTTGAGTATATTAGTTTTATTATAGGTATATTGGTTTTAACGACATTAAAAATAAGGACAAAACAAATGACAATCAGTTAAAAGTAGTGAACTATTCAAATCGCCATTGATTTTTTATCCTTTATCCTGTATTCTTTGAATTTTAATTTTTCTCAATTATTATAAATGCCATGTCTAGTTCAAAGATAATTGACGTGCAAAATGTGAGTATGTATTTTAAAGAGTAAAATTTATAGTCGTGAGGGCGTTGAGAATAAACTGTTTACTAAACTTGTATGTAGGTGGTATTATAATAGGTATTTATACCTCTTAATGTAGTCAATGTAACCGCCGTTCAATAGATTGGAGAAAAAATCAAAGTCAAAAAATTTTCATGTAGGTCTATTACAGACTCTTACGATATGTCAAATCTACCGTCATTTGGGTATGCTTTCGAGATGAATTGCCAAGAAACTCAGCTCGTATTCTTTTTAAATTTTATTCACAATAATACATATTCATATTTAAATTCAAAATTGGGAGAATAGAGTGACCACCTTCATATACTGTTGCAATATTGTCCAAAACAAATGGTGTAATCAGTGTTCGTAACCCGAACAGACCAGTCCCCACAGGCAGCGCCCCTACACGAGCATGACGGATATGAATACGGAGACATATAGGTAATCACGTTGCATGAATAGGTTAGTTTCATTTTGTTATGTACGATAAATGATGACCGCTCAGTCAAGATCAAGTCAGTGTGCGCGAACTTGTACTATC